GCAGTAAGTCTCCGGAATGGGAGAGATTTAGACAGAGAGCAGGAAATTGCACAAGCCAGCAAGAACACTACACCAGCCACTCCAGTTCAATTAGAGGTAGAGAAACCAACAGAACTTACTGAAGTGGTGGTTGAGTAGAGTCAGGAGGAAAAAGGCAAAGAAAAGATGAATAAGCAAGTTGCAGAACAGGTGACACCTCTTGTACCAGAAAATTCTAACAGAGAGAAGCCAGCAAGTAATGCACAAAGGGTGATACCTGCACCCTTCCCTGAGAGACTGGTCAAACAAAATAAGGCAGACCAATATAAGAAGTTCATAGAGATGCTGCGTCAAATTAAGTTGAATATTCCTTTGATGGATGCCTTGAGGAAGATGCCCAGTTATGCTAAGATGATGAAAGATCTAATGTCACAGAAGTTTGATTTTCAGGATCTATCCATTGTAACTTTGACACAGACCTGCAGCGCAGTGGTGGCAAACCGATGGCTCAAAAGATGTTGGACCCAGGTAGCTTCACTATTCCCTGCACAATTGGAAGTTATGCCTTTGCAAAGGCGTTGTGTGATTTGGGAGCCAGCATAAATCTGATGCCGCTGGCTGTGTACACCAATCTGGGCATTGGTAGAGCTAGGCCAACTTCAATGCTGCTACAGCTGGCTGACTGCACAGTGAAGAGGCCCACTGGTATTCTTGATGATGTGTTGGTACAAGTGGGGAAATTCGTGTCCCTTGCAGACTTTGTTATCTTGGATTGTCAGGTGGATGAGGAGATACCCTTTATTTTAGGGAGACCATTTTAAGCCACAGGGATAGCACTGATCGACTGTGAAATTGGGGAATTAAAAATGAGATTGAACGATGAAGAAGTCATATTCAATGTTCAGCAATCTATGAGGAGACCCAGTGAATATGCTAATTGCTCTCTAGTGGAAGCAATGGATGTAATCCTGCAAGAAGATGATATGGCCCTAACTGTAAAAGATCCATTGGAGGCATGTCTAATGAATTTAGAAGAAATGGATGGTGAAGGGTTAGCTGAATGGATCATGGCACTGGAAGGCCGAAGATTTTAGTCATGGGAACCTCAGTTCGAGTCCCTTGAGCTAGAAAAAAGGGCCACTCCTCCAGCAAAGCCATCAATAGAGGAACCACCCAAGTTGGAACTGAAGGAACTCCCAGATCACCTCAGGTATGTGTTTTTAGGCCCTGATTCGACCTTGCCTGTTATCATATCATCCGGTTTGTTAGATGTGCAGGTAGAACGGCTCGTACAAGTACTGCAGGAAAACAAGACTGCCATTGGCTGGACCATGGCAGACATAAAGGGTATCAGCCCAGCCTTCTGTATGCATAAGATTCTCCTGGAGGAGGGGCATAGACCTTCCAGGGAACACCAACGAAGGCTGAACCCAAACATGAAAGAGGTTGTAAAGAAAGAAGTAATCAAATGGTTAGATACG